CGGGGTGTGACCTCACTGCAGAGGGGCCTCACCGGTCCCCAGGCCTCTGTAGCCAGTGAGGAGCGGCCTCCTCCCTCAGCTGTGCCTGGGAGACACGGGGCCGGGGCTGTGGGCAGAGCGGGCTTTCTCTGGACCTCTGACCTCTGACCTCTACTCGCTGATCCATCCCCACCTGTGTAGGTGCCTCTCTAGAGTGGAGGATGGGCAGGTGGGGCTGGGTCCCTCTGATGAGGACCAAGAGGAAAAGCCCGCTGACCCCCTTCCCTGCCCCCAACCTTTATGGAGCACCTAGTATGTGCCTGGCAGCTTGCTAAGTCCTGAGCTCAGTGAGTGCATTCAGCCACCAAAGCAACCCTACAAGCTGTGTATGGTCACGAGTGCCAATTTTGTATTTTATCCCTCTACTTTTCACCTACAGAATTCAGACTCTGTTGGAGGTAGAACTGGGTCCAACTAAAAAAACTACCGACTCCTTCCCACACTGGTCTTCTTTGGTGTTAGCATGGCTTAGTTCTCTGGCTGATGAAATGTGAGCATAAATCACCCAGAGATTTCTGTAAGTGTTGCTTTCCTGACTTAGGCATCATCACCTTCCCCTTCTACCCAATTTCTCCCTTCCTCTTGCCCAAAATGAGGTTGTGAGGGCTGGCGCCAAAGCAGCCACTTTGCAATTGTGAGGAAAAGGTCAAAAGAACAGGACTGTGATATCTTCAGGCTACCAAACTAGTGCCAGATACTTCCAGCCCAGATTAAGCCATGGTTGCTTGGGGTTCCTGTTATATATAAGGGCAGGCAAGTCAAAATATTCCCTCCAAAGTGCAAGATGAACTGCTGTGCTGTGCACCCACTGTTGGTCAAAGAAGCAAGCGGCTCTATCTGCGCACCTCATGACCCAGTTTTCAAGGGCACAGGATGTATTTAAGGCAGCTGGAATGCCCTCCTGGCCTATGGCAGGCCCAAGCGGAGAATTCCACGCTCTCTTGGGTGTCAGCAAAGCCGTGCCACTCCGGCAAAGAGCTCTTCTACTTCTGACCCACAGCCCACCACCGGCTGCTGGGCTGCCTGGAGGTGAGACCACGAGGCCACAGGTACAGGAGTGCCGCAGGCTGTCACCACACGCATGCGCCACGCGCGCGGCCAGGGCCAGGCGGGGTGGACCCAGGGGCACAGACCAGCGCTGTGAGCGGCGCTGACTTTTGGGGTACTCGCTGCACGCCCCCTCCCTGTGGCTCTCGGGGAGCCCCTGCGACTGTCGGAGGAGGAAAATTCGCCTAGGAATTACGGACAGATTGCGGCAGCAAGGCGGCTCTGCAGAAGGACACGGAGGAGGGACGCCCCAGCGGCGGACGCTGTGCGTACCGCTGCCCGTACCGCTGCCCGTGTCGCGGGGAGGAGGCGGGTCCCACATTTACCCTGATCGTGGGCGGCTGCTAAGCATTTGTTCGGGGGTCAGCGGCGCAGAGGACGAGATTCCAGGAGCGGGGCCGAGGAAGTCCCTAGAGGGCAAGACCGCCAGGGTCCGCCGCATGCTCTTGGAGGGCGCCCGGGGCGGGAGGCCCTGGCCGCCTGTCCTGCGCCCGTCACCCAGCACTGGCTCACAAGCAAAGTGGCATTTGTCTTAGTTCACTGAAGTCACTCGAGGGCTCCGCGGAAGCTCCTCCCCTGGCTGGCCGACCTGCCGCCGCTGGTGTCGATCACGCTGGCGGCCAGCAGGGGGCAGGTCGGCTTCTCTGTAGCGCTTCCATCCCGGGGGGACACCGATTGTCCCCAGTGGAATTGACGTGGACCTCCCTGCCTGCCCCGTCACGGCCCCGCAGCCACTACCCACGGTGTCCCACGCATCGCTGCGAGTGACCACGGTCTTATCCCCTCACAGAGGTTGGCCAAAAGCCCCCACTTAAGAGCCCACCGTCCTTAGCTGTCCCCACCCTGCGTGGCTGGAGACACCGTCCATGGAGCGCTGGGACTCCGCTGCCAGGGGCACGCAGTCAGTGCCGGAGGCGGGGTACAGAGGGCCCAAATGTCTCGCCATGACTCTGGGGGGGGGGGTAAAGTAAATTGTCACAACCATGCCCTGCAGAGTAGGAGAGCCCCCAGAGGAGGCCTGCCCCAAGGCCCGACCCATGGAAGGGACAAGTGTAAAAAATCCATTATTTCAAGGCACTGGGTTTGGGATTTTGTATTAACAAAAAGTGACCAAGATGTCTCCCTTTAGCTCAGGGGACAGACTCACAGCACCCCTCTCCCGAGAGACTTCCTTCACAAATCACTTTGCCCCAGGCCCAGCCATCCAACTATCTATAGTCCAAAGAACCAGTTTCCAGAAAAGCCCTGGCACGCTGGGGCCGACATCTCACACGTCCACTGTAGCTCAGTGCTTCCAGTACCCTGAGAGTCTGTTCGTGTACGCCTGTGCTCTCAGCTCAGAGGTGGCTGTACCTTTCTGCCACCACTGCCTGCTGGGGACACTGTGGTGGTGACATCGTGGTTCTGCACGGGGTTGATAGACCTAGGGGACATGGGCGTCTCCCAGAGAAGGGCACACTGGCCGGGAGAATGTGGGTCTGGACTACATTCACCGGGGAGGTGGGCGCGTCTTTTGTTCCAGAGACGGCGGTGCCGCGTCACACAGAAGCACATGCGCAGGAGCAGCCCAGGGTGTGCAGCGTCCGTCTGGGACCCTGGCTTTGTCGTATCCTGTCCTCTGGTCCTCCAGAGTCCCGCAAACATCCCAGGGCCTGGAGCTAATGCCCCTCTGCCTTGCTCTCCCGGCCCGGCTCCAGCTGTCCGCAGCCGAGACCCCAGGTTATGGGCAGAGCGGATTTCATTACTCAGACCATTGCAGGGACGGGCAGCCCCGTGGGGAGCCGGACTGGAGAAGCAGGTCTGTCGGGTTGGTGGCTTCAGCCACGCCCTGGCAGGTGTCCTGCCAGGAAGAACTTAGATGCTGGGGAGATGTGGCGCACAGGCCAGCGTCCCAGCCCTGGGTGGCCGAAGAGGGTCCCCAAGTTTCTGGGCTGAGGTGAGGGTGCAGCTTCTAGGGGGCAGGGCCACCCTGCTTGCCCTCTGCACCCCACCTCCTGCACCCACCCCGACACCGCTTCGGGGCCTTCGCAGCAGGTGCAGCCCCCGGCCTCACCCCTCCAGGTCCCTGCATCCCGCCTGCTCCTTGCTAAGGCCCCTCCGTGCTGGGCCTTGGCTTCGGCTCTCAGCCGTCCCAGACATCTGCGTTCCCAGCCCGGCTCCCGCTGAATGGAAAAACCCGACAACAAGGGCGCAGTGTCCGGTGGCCCGGCTAGCACAGGCTCTGGACAGTCCAGGTGCAGGGACACCGCGCTGAATGGCCCTCATTGTTCTTGGCACCCGGGGCCGAGGAGGCGCCTCGTCTGTGCCCGGCCAGCATTTCACACGTGTGCACAGCCCTGGCTGGCCACGCTGGCAGAGTCCTCCTTGAGGGACCTCGGGGAAGCCTGACTGAGGAGTGACGGCCAGGAGCTTTGCTCCTGGAGGAAGGGCACATCCGGGTCTTGGCCGCTGGGTCTGTGAGGCCCTGGGAGGCACATATCCTGCTCGGAGCAAGTGACCTCTTTCCAGCTCTGAGCTCTCCTGGGTCCCCAGCCCCTGGCTGACCTGCTGACCGTGTAACCTCTTCTATCACACACACGCTTTTCAAAAACAGGGTGAGGTGACCTCTAATGCCTCCTCCACACAGTTAGGTAGAATTTCATTCATCCACCTATCAAATCTGCTCTGCTGTTACGGCCTGGTCTGTGGTCAAGTAAATGCGTCACTCAGGGGATGTGCTAGGCTGGGTTGGACACCCATGTGGTCCTGGTCCTGCCCTCCGTGAGGTGCTTTGACAAGATCCTAAGACGACAAAGCTTTTCTAGGAAGCTACCCTGAGCTGGACGAGCTCTCAGGGACCTGGATGCCCCTGCCACTCCCTGGCTGCTTCTCCCTGCCCACCCACATTCGGCGTGCAGACAGCCTCGGCAAAGGGACACAGCAGCCCCAGCCCCGTCCTGACCACTGCCTCCTGGAAGACAGAGGGACGCAGAGGTGAGGCGAGGTGTCTGTGGGCTGTAAGCGGGAAGAAGGGGCTCTGCTCCAGGATCCTACTCAAATGAACACTTCCTGCCACCAGGAAAACCCAAGAAGACTGAGGTCAGGACGGACTGTGGGCTGAGTAGGGACCCGGAGCTGAGTCAGGGTGGATCCCAGCTCCTGGGAGGTATAGAGTAGCCACACCAGAATGCCACAGCTCCCCTCCATCCCTCGTCCCCACCCTGATGGAAAATCTCCCACCCTGCCGCAGAGCGCGCAGCAAGTTTCTGCCAACTTCAGAACGCAGGGTCGGAGACAAATATCAGCCAAGCGTACCGGAGCAGCACAGGTGGACGGAGCTCCGTGGGGAGGGGCAAAGCCTGGAATTGTGGGTTTGCAGATGACTGCTGGGGTCCCGGTGTGCATCTGTGACCCCCTTGAACTTGGGAGGCTGGTGCCCTGGAAGTCACACAGCTAGAGCGTCCAAGACAGCCACTAAGACACAGCTTTGAAGGCCAGGCATGCAGCTCTTCCTTAAGCCAAAAAGGCAGACACACACTCACATACACACACCTTGTGTGAGGCCACAAGCATGTGTATGGTGTGTGCGCGTGTGCCTGTGTAGTGTGTGTAGGTGAGCATGTGAGATGTGTGTCCGTGTGTGCATGGTGGATGTGCACACTTGTCCTGGGTGAGTGCACAGGTATGAGTGTAAAGTGTGTGTGTGGCCGTGGGGGGGCCTCCTGCTCTGTCACACTCAGCAAACACCAGGTATGGCCAAGCCCGGGGCAGCCATCACTACTGGCTTCCTCACAGACACCCCAAATGCCAGCACCAGCCCCTGGGGCCCCCAAGCAGCACCCAGGGAGCATCCCTAGAGGCCTCCGAGGCTTTACAAGGGACAGATCTCAGGACAGAACCATACCCTCCCTTGGCCCTGGCCAGCCCAGCCCTACCTGAGCCCTGTGGGGCCGCGCTAGACAGGATCCACTTGACCAAGCAGCACCGCATCAGGGCCTGGCGGCTGAATCGTGGCCTCTGCCACTTGACGCCCTCCTTCCTGCTCAGCGGTGTGCGCCCAGGGTCTCCCAAGAGGCTGCCGTCTGCTGCTTTGGTGACCTCCTGCAGTGGGAACAGGGAGTGCACCCTGAGCCTTTGCAGATCCACCCTGGGTCAGCATCTCATGCCCAGGACCTTGCTCAAGGAACAACTTGAATGCCTGGTGGGAGGAGTGCGGAGGGAGGAGGGGCTGTGGGCAGATGTCAGGAGAAGCAAGACCTAAGTTTGAATTGTGATCAGTCGGGAAAAGGCAACCAGGTCCCCTCTGGGGCTCCAGAGCAGCAAGCTCTGTTTTCCTAGAACATTATTTTAGGCCTCTCAACCATGGTTCCCAAATTACTATCACTCTTGAGCCGGCGGCAGGGTGGTGGTCCCTTGCCAGGGCTCAGCCGTAGTGGTCCCTCCGGGACTCTCTGCGTGTCTGGTTTGCTGCCTGAGCAATCTTGCAACAGGCAAACGTGGCCACAGGTCCTGTGGCCCAGGTCATGGCCCACAAGTAGCCCTGGGCACATTTGTGGCACATCTGTGGGTCCTGATGTCTCTCCAGGATCGTGAGGCTTCACATGTGTGAGATTTGCACAGCCTGGGAAGGCCCTGGGTTGTCTAGAGTGACTAAGGGGCCCTCCTGTCCCTGGAATCTCTGCAAAGTCTCTGTCTTCAGAGGGAAGGTCAAAGTGAAAGTCAACACCCTGGTGTCCTCCTGCTCCCTGCCGGCCTTTATCCCTGCTCATCCCATCCTCCGTGGAACTGAACGTGGAGAAGAGGCGGGACAAATGTTCCCAGACCTGCGGGGGGTCTGCTGCATCCTGCAGGGCTTCCACAGTTATGGACCCCAGAGACCCGTTCATGTTTGGGCTGCCCGGCCAGCGGCCCTCCTGGTCAGCTTTTGTTCAAGGGTGTCCTAGGCCGGGCAGTACCCAAATGCCTTAGCCCAGCTGCTGTGTCCCCCCAAGTAGCAGCTGCCAGGCCCTGGCTCACAATTATTACCCTACCTCCCCGCACACGCCACAGGGACGCCCCACCTCCCTCCTTTCTCCCAGGCTTGTCCAGCACGAAGGGCTGGGTATGCAGAGCTGCAGCGTGGTCCGGCTGACCGTGCTGACAGCGCAGGAGGAAGGGGAGCGCTGGGGGCAAGGGAAGGTTCCAGAAGTATGAGGGGAGCACCCTGTATGCATGTCCTGTGTACACACACTTGCACCCACATTCACATGCATGCACATACACACACAGACATGCACGCATGCAACACATCCAGTCCAGGCTGGGTCAAAGCGGCACTTCCTCCATTATTAAAGATCTTACTCAAGAGACAAATGGCCTCGATGAATGAAATTGTCTCTCGGTCAAGGAGGGGATGAGGGAGAGACAGGCAGCTGTGCTTCATGTGTCTTCCTTGCTGCAGCTCTGCGTGGGGTGAGTGGAGATGGCCAGAAGGGGAAACTGAGGCAGGCTCAGCTGAGACCCCCGTGCCCAGGACTGTGTTGGCACTGGCTGGCAGAGGCTGCCCTGATGGGGACCTAGGATGGGCACAGGGATTCTGTCTCAGCTGCAGGTCCAGGCTGGTGTGGCAGAGACCCTGTGGGTGTCCCTGGCTGCTGTCCCGCAGTGGTTCTGTCCCCTCAGCCCCGGGGAGGCTGGGACCCCGCAGTGTGTGTCTGTTCTGAGCCACAAGTCATCTCATGGTCACCACCGTCCCCACGGAGGACAAAACCACCCCATCTTGCAGATAAGAAAACTAAGTCCATGAGAAGTTTGGGGACATGCCAGAGGCCCCTCGGTACATGTAGTCTTCTGACCCCAAAGCCCAGGCCGTCTTGATTACTTGGTGATTGTCCACAGGACCAGGTCCCTGGAGAGGTATCAGGTTCAGGCGGCTCCCACATCCCCTAAAATGTCCACAGTAACTGACGAGGGGCCCTCCCAGATCAAGGTCTTTTGTCGCCTGTGGATGGTCAGGGTGGGTTGTGCTGGGAGATGGAGCCAGTTCTTTTTTCTGGCTGGAGGCCAGAGCCGGGGATAGCCCCCTTTGTGAGGAAGGCAGTGGGCTCCAAACAGATGGGAGGGGAAAGAGGATGGGACAAGGGGTGAGGGGTGGCTCAGCCTGAGGGCCCGGCAAGTGGCCAGCATCAGACTTGGAGGGGGGCAGAGTGACTGCCAGGTCACCCTCATGAATATTTGACATGTGTCTGTCTGGGAGAGGGTCTGACTGAGCCGTCAGGGAATGTTAAATAGCTATCCTGGCACCCTCTTCCTGCCTCTGGAGGCTTGCAGGCTCTGAGGGAGGGACCCTGAGAGGGAGCCGTTGCCCCCTCATGCTGGGGGAACCTCTGCGCTGCAGCAGAGAGGAGGCTTGGACATAAATTATACCTCCTCCTGCCCCCACTTGGAACCCCATTCCTTCAGGAGGAAGGACCTTTGTGGGGTGGGATGGTTGTGTATCTTGCTGTGATGATGGACACACGCACCCATACATGAGATCAAATAGTGGAGCACTAAACACACGTGTGTGCACACAGACATTAGTGGGTGTGAAACGAGGCGTTGTAAGATTGGGGGCTGCATCCTGTCGACCCCAGGAGCGATCTCATGTTGGTTTTGGAAGAAGCCGGGCAAAGTAGGCAGGGGAGCTCTGGGTTATTTCTTACCACACTTAGCTCAGTAAAAATTTTCGTGAAGGGCTGAGGTGTAGCTCAGTGGTAAGGTGCATGCTCAGCATGTATGAGGTCCTGGGTTCAATCCCCAGCAGGAAAAGAAAAAGTTTTTTCAATTTAAAAATTCTCTCACACACACGTACTAAAAATGCACACCCACACAAGGCCCTGGATAAACATTCACAAGGGACTATGTGGAAGCCTTCGATGGTGCCCTTACTTTACTGGGAAGTTCTCTCCACCTGCTCCTGCCTGCGGTGCCCTCATTTCAATGGGTGATGGGGTCGTCATTGCCCACAGGCCTCGGGATGGTCAGGCCTGGGTGGCAGAGACCAGTGAAGCCAGGAGATCTGAGTCCTGGAGTCCCAGAGTTCCTGGTGGCTCACCTGGCAGAGCAAGTGTCCCGGCCATGCTCCAGAGATGGCCTGAGGCTGGCCCAGGGGACGAACAGCCCTCTCTGAGCCTTGCAACAGCCTGTCCATAAAGAGGCTGCAGGTAGCTAGGCCACTCTGCCAGTCACTCTGAGGTGAGACTTGCAGCTCCTGCCCAGCCTGGTGGCCAGGGACAGGTGTCAGCTTCCTTCTGAGTCCTCCTGGCCTGCAGGGAGTCGGGGAGGGTTAGAAAATATGCCTGGCAGCAGAGGGTGCCCCGAGCATGTGCTGTGCTGTTAGGTGTTGGAAAGCTTTATTTAATGCTCCCATCAGCCTTTTAATGTTCCTCAAAATTACCCAAATCAAGCTGAATGCAGTGGCACAAATCTGTAACCCCAGCACTCTGGGAGGCTGAGTCAGGAGGATGAGAAGTTTGAGCTGGGCCTGGGCCACTTAGTGATACTCTGTCTAATGGCTCAAAAAGAAAAAGGTCTAGGGTATAGATCAATACAAAGGCCCTAGGTTCAATTCAAAGACCCTTCCTAATACCACTACTTTAAAAAAAAAAAAAATCACCCACCTAAAACCCAAATCAAGCTGGACGTAACAAGCTTTTGTAACAGGTTCTTGCTTACAGCCTCTTTCCAGGCTCACCAGCTTCCCTGAGGTGTGAGCCACAGGATGCCCAGTGTGCCCAGGTGAGGGCTGGCCTGAGGCCCCCGCTCCAGGGAGATGGTGTAGCTCCCCGTTACCCACCTCTGCAGGTGACAGGTAGCGGTGGCCGTTGAGAAGTTACTGTTGCTGCTTTGTTTTCCCGGCCACTGCTACCAGCTTTCCATGTACAACACTGACTTAAAGATTCCCCTTTAAGGGGATTTTTTATAAACCTAAAATGAGAGCAATATAAATAAAAAATAAGCAACGACATAGGTCAAAGCAGGTAAAGCAAAAGTGGTGAAAGTCAATGTTGTGATTTGAGTATGACTGTCTCTTCAGACTCTTATGGCAGTTTGACCCCCCAAAGTCTTGCTAATGCTATGAACTTGCTCACTGTGGTGTTCAGAGAGGTGTGGGCTCTGGGAAGGGACTGGGTTTGGTTAGGTTGGTAGGGAAGCTCCTATGTTTGGGGGCTTTGTAAGGAAAGAGACCACAGAGATACTTAGAGTTTGTGCCATGCAATTTGGATTTCTAGCATCCAGAACTGTGAGTGAAGTGAACTTCTTTTCTTTATAAAGTAGCCAGCCTGAGGCATTTTGGTATAGTAATAGAAAATGTACTAATGCAGGACAGTACAAACAGTCTAGAAAGCGTTTCTTTTCCCAGCCAAGCCTGGCCCTGTAGCTGACCCATCCAGATCTGAACTGTCCCACGTGGTGGCCACTTACCACATGACTACCAAAGCTAGTCCAAACTGCAATGTGCCATCTGTATAATATGCACTGGGTTTCAGATATACACAGGAATGTCAAATAGTGCATTAATAATTTTTGTATTAGTTATATGTTGAAAAGATAATATTTATATGGGGTGAAATAAAGTTTATTAACCCAATAATAAAAAAATTATTAAAAATAGCTAAAATTTTAAATTTTTTTTCTTTTCTTTCCTCCAGTACTGGGGGTTGAATCTAGGGCCTTCCCACTGAGCTACATCCCCAGATCTTTTTATTTATTTTTTATTTTGAGACAGGGTCTCCCTAAGTCACTAAGTTACCCAGGCTGAGTTTGAACTTGTTTTTTGTTTTGTTTTTTTCTGGTACCGGGAATCGAACTCACAACTTTGCGCTTGCCAGGCAGGCGCTGTGCCACTGAGCTAAATCCCCAGCCCCTGGACTTGAACTTGTAATCATCCTGCCTCAGCCTCCCAGAGTACTGAGATGACAGGTGTGCACCCCCACATCTGGCAAATTCTACTTTCTTTAATGGGCCTGCAAGAATGTTTCAAATGACATCTGTGCCTTGTGTTACACTTCTTCTGCACAGCCAGGCTCTAGATGGTTGTTGGACCTACCTCCTGGACGGTTTGCGGGTCTCTCCCTCCA